ACTTTTTTGAGAAAAACCTGCTGACACCCCCTAAATGTGTTTTATCTAATGCAAAAACACTAGGTTTAAAATTTTTTTGAACAAAAATTATTTTTAGGGGTAGCTCAAGGCCCTCAAAAATTTGACGGGTCCCTAATATTTTGAAAAAAAAACTTTTTCTAAAGTATGTCAACCTGGTACTCAAAAGAAGCGATATTGTATAAAAACTTCAAAAATAATAATCATTTTACATAAAAAACATGCCTAAAAAAAATTATTCTCAAAAAACCTGAAAATATTGACTTTTTTTATTTTCAGCTTAAAAACAATAGTTTTTATGCATTTATACCTAAAAAAATTATTTTTATAAAAAATTATTATCATTTTTAAATTTTTTATATAATTTTGCTTATTTTGAGTACCAGGTTGACATACTTTAGAAAAAGTTTTTTTTTTAAAATATTAGGGACCCGTCAAATTTTTGAGGGCCTTGAGCTACCCCTAAAAATAATTTTTGTTCAAAAAAATTTTAAACCTAGTGTTTTTGCATTAGATAAAACACATTTAGGGGGTGTCAGCAGGTTTTTCTCAAAAAAGTTGTTTTATGGACCACCCTAATATACATATATATATATACATATTATATGTATATATATATATATATATATATATATATATATATATATATATATATATATATATATATATATATATATATATATATATATATATATATATATATATATATATATATATATATATATATATATATATATATATAAAATAAGCTAATTAAGTTATAACATTAAAAGTTCATTTTACTGGCAAACAGTTTACAACATCCTCTACTATTGATACTCCTATGTTCAAAGTCTTGATTAAAGGTTCTTCTTGTTAATAATGGCTTTTTTCCAACATTTTAATTAATTTGTTGTTTCTAATTTTGTTGAAGATGATCTAAAATGCCTTGGTTGAAGTAATGAATCAGTTGGTCTTAAATCATCTCGAAATGTTATTACTTCATCGGTTTCATACCACCATATATAATGCTCAAAAATATAGTCAGATATTCTTTCTAAATGACTTTGCCATGCCCATGGGTATTTTTTGATTATCCAGAAGAGAATATGTGATTTTTTTCTTTCAAAATATAAGGCAAACTTACTTGACCTTCTTGATGATTGGAATATCCTTTATTAAATAAATGACGACTTCGTAATCGTAAAAGGCTATTCACAATAACATGATCATTATGGTGGTTTGTTGTGGATCTATTGATAATTTTTAACTCATTAAAAGTGCGCTCTTCTTCCTCTATATTAGATGAGATTCCAGACACTATTCTAAACATTTGAGAACCATGAACAGATAATGCATGTAAATATTTTCCCTACAAAACTCGCATGGTAATTAATTTTGGTTTATCATTTACTAGTTCTTTCAAATATATCAAATAAAGAAAAATTTGGTTATGAAGGAAACAAATGTTTTCTATAGACCTTGTTGATTCATTGGAATATAAAATGCTCTGTATATTAACCATTGTAGATAATAATTCAATAGCTAGTTGATCAATCTTACCCTTCAACACCATTACTAATTTTAACAAACTTTTTCTATAGTCGATTCCACATTTGCACTCTTTGTTATCAAAAGACAAGGTAACCATATCTTTAAAATATTTTTTTTCATCTTTATGGAGATGATTGCCTATTTCATTATACAAATTTGATATATGACCTTTTATATCATGTAATGGTTTACATGGTAAAACTTCATATCTATCTAGATTTAAATCTTTCATTGATGTATTATTTTCTTGGTGAAAAAGGGCTGGCAATCTTTGAATGCCATGCATTTCTTCATCAAGTTTAATTTGTAAACTACTTTTATTTTCTTTACAAAAAAAGTGCTTTCCTCTTTTATGTAATTCGGTAACTATTTCATACTTCTTTAAATTTTTATAAAGTTTGTTTCGAATTTGGCTTATTTTTTCCTCGCTGCAATTAGTGCTAAAGATTTTTTCGATTATGTCTTGAACACTGAATACTGTTTGGATAAATAAATGAGTTATATTTGCAGATTGGTGAATGTTTATTGGACACAACCAACATGGATATTCACCCCCTTTTTGTTGACCAATCTCTAATTGACAAGCTGGGGCATCACCATGAAAAAATCTCATCCCATCAAATAATAAAATGCCATTGACACTAATTGGATATTTTAACAACAGATTGTCCTCATTTCTACTTTTTGTGTACAAAAGTTGGGCATCAGAAGATTGACAACATGCCAAAATATAAAGTTCAGGTTTTTCAACAATTGATTGGACATTAACTTGCTCTTTATATTTTGTAAAATATTCATCATCTTTTAAATATATGGCTGGGTCATATAATCAGTTAACCATGAATAAAACATGAGCGTGGTTGTTAATTGTAGACCCATTGTGCCGTAATTGAAGGTGACATTTACAACTGAAACTTTTCAATTTTTGTAACAATAACTCTGTGGTTGTTTCCATACTATATAAAAATTCATTAAATCTAGTAAGTTCAAAGATTATATCTTCTCTTGACATATTTTAAAATTCGTCAGTGCTGTGCAATCTAAAGAACTTTTTATGTTGCTCTGCAAACTTTTTCCTTATTTCAATTAAAGGAATTTTTCTTCCATAAAGCTCAGTGAAGGTTTTTTCATATGAATTTAGTTTTGCTACTGGTCTTAAGGTTTCAAAAATTAATAAAATTGCTTTTTTTTGTTAGAATAAATAATAACCTGTCAACTGCTGTTTCCTGTAAATGTGTGTCTATACTTGATTTTAATGATTTTGCATAACTATTTTTTTGAGCCATAACTATGCTTTTTGAAGGTTTGGCTGCAAGGGAGCTCTTTGGAATAGATGGCACTATACACTCAATTGGAGTAAATAGATATTTTATCTTAAATTCATTATCAGCCTTTTTTAAAAGAATTTTGGCATCAGCTACCATTTTTAATTTTTCTTTGTCTGACTGATATAGTACTTTCTTCCATAAGTGATGGATTTAACTGGAAATAATGTTAATAGATGTTAATAGATTTTACTTTTGATACAACCCTTACAATTTGAAAAAGAGTGCTGGGATTTTTCCGCTTTTTTTGCTTAAAAATGATTCTTATACTGTATGCTTGTTTGCTTTGATTGATTTTGCTATAGATTGAATTTGATTTTTAATATTTGGGAAGTTGCGACAATGAATATCTGATGATACCATGAAGTCTTCTTTTTGCTTGTTAAATATTAAATCGTAGCAATCTATTTGCTCTTTTAGTGTTACTCTCAATAAAACAAGCTCGTATGCAACCACTTTGGCAAAACCATATGTTGTTGAATCAATAATAGATATCTCAAATCACAATTTAAAAGTAAATCTGGCTATGTTGTATACTAAAGATTTATATAAATATAATATCATATATATATATCATAAATATAATATCATATTATTATATATAATATTACATGTAAAATTACATATAAATTATATATATATATATATATATATATATATATATATATATATATATATATATATATATATATATATATATATATATATATATATATATATATATATATATATATATATATATATGTAGGTTACTTTTAAAATATTTGTTTTAATTGCATCAAATAATTCATCAAAAAATCTTTCCAACGGTACCAAATATGTTGCATATTGTTTAATTTTTAAACAAAATATCAACTATAGCATAAGTACACTTTTTGTTGAAAAAAAACTGGTTTCCCGCCATAGTTCACTTGAGTAGTGATCATTGTTTTTCATAATAAAAATAAAAACATTGATATCTGTTTTAAGTCATAAACATCCGTAATTTCTTTACAAGTGCTAATCTAGATTCTTTTTATTTCAACCAGCTAAAAAATAACTTTATATAAACACTTCAACTGCAAAGAGGTTTATCTGAAATGCTAATAATGAGCAAAATAAAGCTTTTTAAAGGTATTTTTTAAAATCTGGCATGGGGACCAAATATTTACCAGATTTGAACCTCACAAAATTAGAATACAGCTCAAAACCTAATCTAACCATGCTAATCATGTAATGTTGTGAATCAACAAAACAAGTTAATATAATGATAATATTCAAGTGTCAGAACCACATCCAGCAAGATATGGATGAATCACAATATGTTATTAGCACAATCAGTTAAGGCATTAAGCTGGAATTCTTTTTTTTTTAATGTTCAAGTGCCATTGCTATGACATTTTTTAAAATCTCAATTATAGTTCTTTTTAATTTTTTAATTTTTTTCAGCTGAATTTGATATCTGATTTTATAAATTCAGAGTACATTCTTGTGTCTACAGGCATATGCAGCCAATACAGGTAAATTCAAAAGGCATAGGGGGCCACTTATGATCCACCATACGCAAGATACATATAACTTACATATGGTTATATATAACCTGCAAACGTAAGATATATACAATTACATGTATCTTACATTTGCATGTATCTTACAAATGGTTGCATGTAACCTGTAAATGTAAGAAACATGTGATTGTATATATTTTATGTTTGCATGTATCTTACATTTGCACGCATCTTTGTTTGCATGTATCTTATGTTTGCATGTATCTTACATTTGCATATATCTTACATTTACATGTATCTTACATATGGTTGCATTATCTTACATTTGCAAATATATATCATTTACATGTATCTTACATATGGTTGCATGTATCTTACATTAGGCAAATGTAAGATACATGTGGCCAATACAATCTAAAGATATACGCGGCCAATTATGATCAACCATATGTAAGATGCATACAAATATAAGTGCATAACCAATTTATAAATATAAAACAATAACTATAAATGCAAAACAAAATTGAAAAATGTATAAAATATTTAAAACAATTCAAATGTTTACATAAATTAACAACATAGAATAAGGTTAAAAGTAAAAATAATTATTAGTTTAAGACATAAGTAAAAAAATTACCATTTTGAGAAAAAAGTAGAGCGTGCTTTTTTAGTTGCATCCGACGACATAATTTTTCAATACTAAACTATTTTATGGTAAGCTCTTTTTCTAAACAAAAAAACAATAACGACAACAAAAAATATTCTATATATCTTGGTCTCACAGAAAATATGTAATCTTAATTTGGCTGAATATTAACAATAATAATAACAATAACAATATATTTTCCAGAAAAATTATTACAATACATAAGCCACATAAAAGAAAGTAATGTTTAAACTGGATGGTTCACTCTTAAATAGCATTGCTAAAACAAGGAGAGTGACCATATTATAAACATAGAAATTCTAACATTCTATTAGAATATTAGAAACATAAAAATAACAAATATTAATTCTGTAGGTACGTGTGTATCATTAATTTACGGATGAAACTTTTCAAATTTCATTGAAATTATGTAGCAGACACCTAAATTTTTGTAGCAGAAAGGTATTTAAGTTAAAATATTGTAAAAAATGTACAAATATCAACAAAGTTCCATAACAAAACTACCGTAAGCCGAATGTGACATTTTAAAATTGGTCGCAGTATTATAATGCAACCTTATAGGCTTATAATCAAATTTTGTTGGGCATAACCCAGAATTATTATTTTTTTATGAAATTTTCACTGTTCTAAGACTAATTATTATAATATTAGCTCTTTCTAATAATATATAATAATCAAATATATAAATTGTTTGAAATACGTACCGTAATTTTATGCATGTGTTTGCATCCCCAGCCAGTCTACGCTAGTCGCACAGCCGCTCTTAACTTAGAAACCTCTTCTATCATCTAGACGTCCTAGACCAATAACTAAAGCAAAAAAAAAAATCAATCCAGCCCAACTCAATTACAAACGCCAAGAACTGTTGGCCAGACTATCTGCTCTGCCTACATCTAGTTAATTTTTTTTTTTTTTTTTTTTTTTTTTAGTTTACAATTATCAATCGTAATATAACAATATAACAATATATAAACTTGGTATCTGAAAGAAGATCCAAATGATCTTGTCGCCAGAACCATATAAAAGATATAATACGTGTATATATAATAAAATAAAATATAATTGATCAAATAACTAATAACAAAGTAGAAGAAACAAAAACTGAAAATAATTTTACAAATTATCCAGAGTAAAAAAAAAGAATTTTACATTTCAAAAATATTTATATATATTGCCAGTAGAAAGAATATAGTTTTTTAATTTAGTTTTAAAAACGGAAAACGAAATCGACAAATCAAAATTTGGAACAACAATTTTGTTCCATAAATACGGTGCTCTATAGTTTATGCAAAATTGATTAAACTTTGTTTGACAAAAGGGTTCAATTAATAAATTATTATTTCGTAAAGCATATTTGTTTATAGCTTTATAAGTAAAAAGATCTTTGAAATTGGACAATGGTCTTTCACTTTTACAACGAAACATAAAACATAAAATATTATAGACATTGAGTTCGTAAACGTTAAGTGCTTTAACGTTTTTAAATAAAATATTTGAATGAGAAAAACGATTTTCGAAACATATTAAACGCATTGCGTGTTTCTGACGATGGTAAAGACTTCGTAACTTACTTTTAGAGGTACTTCCCCAAACAATATTTGCATAATTTATATAGCTATGAATAAACGAGTAGTAAAGTTGAATTAAATTTTGTTTACTTAGATAGTATCTGACCTTATATAGAATTCCAATACTTTTAGCCAATTTAGTAGAAATATAGTCGATATGATACTTCCATGTAATATTTTCATCAATGTAAATGCCTAAAAATCTTGTGACCGACTCCTTTTTTATTTCAATTTTATCAATAAAAAGTTTAGGCAATTTATTTGGTAAAAAACGCTTTTTAGCAAGAGAGTGGAAAAGGATCCACTTAGTTTTGTCAATGTTTAAAGTTAACTTGTTGCACTTAAACCAGTTGGAGATCTGATTGAGTTCATTATTCATATTTGAAAAAAGCTCATAAATGCTACTGTTTGACAGAAATAAATTAGTATCGTCCGCAAAATTTATACTCATAAGGTTAGAAGCTTTATTTAAATCATTTATATAAACTAAAAACAAAAGTGGGTAATCACACGTCATATTTTTTGCGGATACTTGGTTAACAGATTTATCAGACGTTGCCATACCTGGGGTGGTGGAGTTGCCATGTACACAAAAAACGTTATCATAGTCAAAGAAGTTAATTCTACTCTACTCAACTCAACATCAATTTAACGAATCTGGTTAAAAAAAAAACGGCGAAGAACTGTTTTTCCTTGCCTGCTTATATCGTCCTCACGACCTTAATGATCAGATTCTTATTCAGTGTATCAGATCAATAACGGTCGCTCAGCAGATACTGCCTAAAATAAACTGCTTGGTAACGCTACTATATGAACATTTTAATTTTAGTCATACATCTTATTTGTCTATCGGCGGCGTTGCAACAGTTGCTCATGTGAGCGTCAAGACAATATCAGGTTCCAAAAGTGCCTTGATAAATTTTACAACTCAGCTAACGCCTCTTGAAACAAGTATTTTAATGCAGGTCACGATACACACAAATTATTTAAAAAATCACGTCGCAACGCATGCAAAAACGTTACTAAAATGGTAAAATCTGTCAGACACAACTACAAGAAAAAACTCGTTAGAGAGTCCGAAAGCAACCTTAAACGCTTACATGCACATGAAGAAAGCAAACAGAACAGAACACTATTACATTGCTAGAAACAGCTAATAGCAATATAACTGCCGAAACCGGTGATATATACTCATTGTTGAATAATTATTTTCATTTGGTTTTTGTTTTGGAGGCCGAATGTCCAATGCCAGCTTTTAAAAGTCGTACTGAAGCAATATATGTTATCGACCCAGCAAGTTTTTGTATTAATGTAGTACAAAAGTTTTTCAAAGAAGCATAATGGAACACTATGCTGTTAATGGCTTAATTACTCCAAAGCAGCATGAATTTGTTCATGGCAAATTTTTTAGAAACGTCTTAAACTTTTTAGAAACTCGGGACATCGTGACGGAAGCAATTCATTGCATCCACACATTAGACGTCATATACAGACTTTGCAAAGACGTTTGACAAAGTGCTGCATAAACGATTTCTTCATAAGTTAATAGCCTATGGTATTCAAGGCGCGCTCTTAAACTGGATCTCAGCTTGGTTATGCAACCAAAGTCAACAAGTGGTCATCAACGGCATCATATCTGAATGGCAAGCGGTCACTTGTGGCATGCCTCAAGGCTCGGTCTCAGGCCCAGAGCTCTTTGTAATCTTCATTAATGACCTGTTGGATAGTATCACTCATCACATAAAACTGCATGCTGACGACAATAAAATTATTGGCATAATTAAAAACGAGTCGGACAGTGTTGCGCTAATCAAGTTATCGTAAACGTAAATCATTTGGATTGGCTGATTATACTAAACAGTTAATTTCCCCCTTGGGAATATGTATATAAATAGCGTGCTTATCGAAGTCTCGCTCTCTTGGAGTAACCTATCAAACATCAACGGACTCGAGCAACTGTTCTACTACTAGCTGTGATCTACAATATCTTTCTTGTGTTTATTGCATATTTGTATATAATATATTAATTATAATAAATTGAACTCGCTTTACAATACGACTCTTACGTAAAACAACAGACAGCATCACTCTTTAATCTGACATTGACAGAGCAGTGGAATAGTTACATATTTGACTCATGCATTTCAACATTGAAAAATGCAAAGTAATGCATGTCGGCCGCGCATGTAACAAGTCGACGCCCGAATACTCAATGGCTAACGTTGACGGCATGCGTTATCCACTTGAAAAGACTGTAGTCGAGCGAGACCTTGGTGTGATGGTCTCCAATGATCTTAACGTCAGACCACAAGTAGATTCAACCGCATCAATAGCAAATAGAATGCTTGGTCGCCGCATTTAAAATTCGACATTGCTATCCTCAAGCAAATCTAACATCGAGCAACAAAAACAATATCAACTATTAAACACCTGTCGAATGAAAATAAACTCCAATAACTTGCTCTAAAAACATTTGAAGAATGCCGTAAAAGAGCAGACCGTATTGAGCGATTTAAAATCACGCGTCAACTTGAACCTGTCAGTTCTTTCGTCTCACAAAACTTTCAAACAGTAAAGCCAAGTATATTTTGAGAGAGCATAACCAAAAACTGGAACGCCACCTTGTAAAAAATTGTAAAGAACGACAAATTTTTTTTAAATATAGTTGTTGTCCCATGGAATGCACTTTCCCAAGCAGCAGTGAACGCTCCATCAATAAATGCTTTCAAAGACAGCATAACAAAGTAACTTATAAAGATATAATTGCTGTTTGTCTGTTGCTTCTATATTTTTATTTTCTTCAGAATAGAGGGGTCTGGTATAGCATCTCCTCATCAAACTATAAATAGATTTATTGTATTTGTTTGTTTTTGTTATCACTGAAATAATTTTTAAAAAATTCTCAGAAGCAAGCAATATATAGCAGTAAATATTATGCAAAGGTGTTAAATAACATACTACTGACGGGAAGGTTCACTCTCGTATAGCCTGGCCTATAATCTAATTAAATGAATTTAAGAAGAATAATTCAATAATTCAATTCTTTTAGACTTTTTATTTAGTTCACGAAAATGAAAAGTGTTTAGTTTACTTTGTAAGAAATTCCAGTCACTAATTGCAAAGTTTTTAAAGGAAAGTCTACCATAAAATTTTGTTTCAGAAGCTTGAACACGCAATCTGCCTCTTTGAGACATCCTAGTAGATTGGGTATGAGCATGTATTAATGGAGTAAACCATTCTGTAAAGATAGAGGGAATCTTATCATTAGTGCAACTGTGAATAAAAAGACAGTTTTCAATTTTTATGTAACTAGAAAATTTATTAATTGGAGTTCCTTGGATGAATCTTTTGTGTGGTAGCTATGTGGTAAAATAATAATTATTCGTATAACTTTTTTCTGAATAACAGAGAGACAATTTTGATAAAAGAGCTTTGTCCCCAAAATAAACAACCATAAGTGAGGTGTGAACTAAATGAGACAAAATATATAGATTTTAA